ATCGTGTAAAAAATTATATAGTTATTTAAAAGGTGAAAGTAGAGATTGAAAAAGTTGAGGAGGAAATGAAGAGAAAATTGAAAAAAAGTACTTCAGTTGGAAACTCGAAAGAGGAAATTTAGCTATTGTGTATAAAGAATTAGGAGGTATTCAGATTTATAATCGATTTGGGCGAACTAGGGGATACTAGTTATGAAAATGTTGGTATGAATTTTAATTTTATGTTTTTTATCTTTTTCCTGAAGATGAAGATAAGTTAATTGAAATCGCTCTTTCAAATGTATTGTGCGTGCAGAATCATTAACCTCTAAATTAGCAAAAACACCAAAAAAATAAAAAGGAAACTTTCACATTGTAAAGTTAATCTAGGTGAAAAAACAGTGGTTGGTATTTTTTGTTTGCATTTTATCATGTTGGCGCTACAAGATTCAATAACAATTACCATGTGTTGGTTTCCCTTCAAGCAAATTTAATGACCTATTTGATTTATTTTTTTTAACTATTTTTAATAAAGTGAGAAAAAACCACCATGTTAATCGTGTGTAATTATGTGCTAAGTCAGGCATGCATGCATATAATTCTAAAATACTAAGTTGCTTTCTCTACTATTTATGCACTCACTCCACCACTCAATTGAAGCAGAAAACAATCTTTTTTTTTCCTTTGCTTTGTTTTCTCCCTTTTTTTTTCTACTCTATATAAAATAAAATAAAAAAATTGACGAATTGTTAATAGAGAACCACAAAACTAAACTACTTTCAACTTCATCCTCAAATATAAACAAATTGTAATAATCTCTTAACTTGTATGTTAAGTATAAAACAAAACTGACACACTTTTAGTACTCTAAAACCTTCATTCAAGACACATTTATTGAATAGGCTTTTAATCTCTAAATTAGTTATTTCAAAGCATTATTAAAATTAACTTTTATGCAATAATTGTGTCGAAAAAATAATGTATCTATTCGAAAGCAGTGTTTAATTAACTTTTGTGCAAAAATTGTGTCAAAAATTATATAGTTATTTAAAAGAAGAAAGCAAAGATTGAAAATGTCGAGGATGATTGGAAAAAAGTACTTCAGTTGGAAACTCGAAAGAGGAAATTCCACTATTGGATATAAAGAATTACGAGGAACTCAAATTTATAAACGATTTGACGAACTAGGGGATACTAGTTATGAAAATACTGGTATGAATTTTAATTCTATGTTTTTTGACTTTTATTTCCTGAAGATGAAAAGAAGTTAATTGAAATCACTCTTTCAGTTGTATTGTGCGTGCAAAATCTTTAACCTCTAAATTAGCAAAACACCAAAAAATAATAAGCAAACTTTCACATTGTAAAGTTAATTTAAGTGAAAAAATGGCTGGTATTTTTTGTTTGTACTTTATCATCTTGGCGTTACAAGATTCAATACCAATTACCATGTGTTGGTTTCCCTTCAAGCAAATTTAATGACCTATTTGAAAAAAAAATTTAACTATTTTTAATACAGTGGAAAAAAAAACCACCATGTTAATTGTGTGTGATTATGTGCTGAGTCGCATGCAGGCATATAATCCAAAAATACTAAGTTGCTTCCCTCACTATTTATACACTCACTTCACCACTCAATTGAAGCACAAAACAATCTTTTCTTTTCTCCCTTTTTTTCTTCTACTTTCTATAAAATAAAATAAAAAAGATTGACGTAATGTTAATAGAGAGCCACATAACTGAACTACTTTCAACTTCATCCTCAAATATAAACAAACTATAATAATATCTTAACTTGTATGTTAAGTATAAAACAAAACTGACAAACACTTTCAGTACTCTAAAACCTTCATTCAAGTCACATTTATTGAGCATGTAGGCTTTTAACCTCTAAATTAGCTATTTAAAAGCAGTATTGAATTAACTTTTGTGCAATAAATGTGTCAAAAAAATAATGTAGCTATTTAAAAGCAGTTTTAATTAACTTTTGTGCAACAATCGTGTAAAAAATTATATAGTTATTTAAAAGGTGAAAGTAGAGATTGAAAATGTTGAGGAGGAAATGAAGAGAAAATTGGAAAAAAGTACTTCAGTTGGAAATTTCGCTATTGGATATAAAGAATTACGAAGAACTCGGATTTATAAACGATTTGGGCGAACTAGGGGATACTAATTACGAAAATGCTAGTATGAATTTTAATTTTATGTTTTTTGACTTTTTTCCTGAAGATGAAAAGAAGTTAATTGAAATTTTCAGGTGTATTGTGCGTGCAGAATCTTTAACCTCTAAATTAGCAAAACACCAAAAAATAAAAAGCAAACTTTCACATTGTAAAATTAATCTAGGTGAAAAAGTGGTTGGTATTTTTTGTTTTCATTTTATCATCTTGGCGTTACAAGATTCAATACCAATTACCATGTGTTGGTTTCCCTTCAAGCAAATTACTGACCTGTTTGAAAAAATAATTGAACTATTTTGTAATACAATGGGAAAAACACCACCTTGTTAATAGTGTGTGATTATGTGTTGAGTCATGCATGCAGGCATATAATCCAAAAATACTAAGTTGCTTCCCTCACTATTTATACACTCACTTCACCCCTCATGAATTGAAGCACAAAACAATCTTTTCTTTTTTTTCCTTTGCTTTGTTTTCTCCCTTTTTTCTTCTACTCTCTAAAATAAAATAAAAAAGATTGACGTAATGTTAATAGAGAACCACAAAACTGAACTACTTTCAACTTCATCCTCAAATATAAATAAATTGTAATAATCTCTTAACTTGTATGGTAAGTATAAAACAAAACTGACACACTTTTAGTACTCTAAAACTTTCATTCAAGACACATTTATTGAGCATGTAGGAATTTAACCTCTAAATTAGCTATTTAAAATTAGTGTTTAATTAACTTTTGTGCAACAATCATGTCAAAAAAAATAATGTAGCTATTTAAAAGCAGTGTTTAATTAAGTTTTGTGCAACAATCGTGTCAAAAAAAATTATGTAGCTATTGAAAATTTGTGTTTAATAAACTTTTGTGCATTAATAGTGTCAAAAAATTTGTATAATTATTTTAAAATGGTGCATAATGAACTTTTGTGCACACCAACCATATCGAAAAAATTATACAATTATCTAAAAACAGTGCTTAATTAACTTTTGTGCACCAACAATGTAAAAAAAGGCCTTTTTATACTCTTAGGGTTACATGTTTAAATACTATGTGCTATTTTCTGATCTGGTAAACTAAAATGACCTTTTTTTCCTTTTCGAAAGAACAAGCTCTCTGTAAGCATCAGCTGGCAAATGTGGAGGTCCAGATGCAAACACGATTTGAAGATGTCAATACTATCCCTCTTGTTTTGGTAAACGTATCTTAAGAACTCATTTTATATAGTGATAGAAACATGTATCTACACTTTTGATGTACCTTGATGGTCCCTCTTGTCATGTGGAGACTTGTTGTTATGCAGAAACTAATTTTATTCAACTAGTTGGTATATAGATCTTTTTATTTTCATTGGGTTATTATAAAATATAAACCCCATGGTGCTTCCCTCGAAGTGATTTTAAGTCTACCTCCACTTAATCACCTTCAATCATTATATTATCATATCTAAAGAGGGTGCATTTGGTGGTCTAAGACATGGTCACAACTTCTCTATATATGCTACTTGCAACCATGTCAAATGTAATAATTTCTAATCTTTCTAATAATGCATGAACACATACATATTTATCTTCATGTTAGCATTTCTACGACAAGGGAATGCTGACATATCAACCCTTTTTTTTATGACAAGGGAAACCCACAGCCGTTAGCCTTTGGGTGCACACATGGTTCTATGCAATAGTTCGCAAACCACACAGGACAGGTAACCCACACTAGGCAAGTTCAGTGCAACGAGCTCAACCCAGAAGGCAAACCCCTTGCTTTCGCTAGCAAGGGATTTTGAACTTGAGACCTCCAGTATGGAAGTTCCAAGCCCAAACCACTGGGCCACCCCGAAGGGTTCGGGTAAATATTCACATATCAAACTTTAAACAGTTAACACGGTGATGAAGTTTTACACGAATTAAAAAAAAAATTGAAACACGTACACACCTTTTTTAGTAGTCCCTCTATCTCTTTTGTAGCATTCAGTAACTCCAGAGCGGTCAGTGAACAGGGCTTATGTTATACATTATAGGCAGCCTGCACACCGAAGAAATAGGTTACCGCTTATATGAGAAATTGGGCAGGGTGTATCTGCGTATCTAATTATGATGCTCAACCACTCAAGGTTGTCCTACTAGAAACTATTCAACATCACTTAATGCAATTGAGATAGGTAACGAAAGCATTCTTGACACAAGCACTATTAGCCTCTACTATTCTGTAACCATCACTTTCCTGATCTCCTAAAACCTATTACTTTTCCGAGCTGATTTATTATAAAAAACAAAGAGATACGTACATATTCTTTCTTCTTTGCATCTCTGACTGCCGACTCTCCTAAATCCTGTGTTCGAACTATGTAGCTTCTTTGTTGGAAGAAACTTTGCGACGCCAATTAAAATTTGTGTAACTAACCATGGTGGAACTATGCTATCTGCAATCCATATGACAAACCACTCATCACTCTATCAAAATCAGAGGCATCAGTAAGAATTGAGAAGCATTTCCAGAGGTATACTTTGCACAGAGATGCAACAAGAACAGTACCGTTCCAAGCATCAGGTTGCTTCTGGTGCACCTTCAAAGCTATTGCTCCACCCATGGATTCCCCAAATAGGAAGCTTGGTAGATTACAGAACTTTGGCTTTTCTGCAACCAACTATTATCTATCAATTTTTTCTCCAGTAGAGTGTCAAGAAGAATAAGAAAATGCAATGACATTCAATACCAAGTCATCATGTTCGACATTTTGGGCTTGATGCTAGTCAGAATACCAACATTTACACGGAGAACTAGCAACTTGCTTTACAGTAGATAATATTTTACATTTTTATCTAATATAGGACGCAGATTTTTCCAGCATGAAACATGGATATAGCACTCTGCAGTCGACAGATAAAGATTCAATGAGGGTAATAACAACCAGGAGGATCAAATAAGGTCAGTCATACCCTATGCTTCACAGCTCACGGACATTACTTAATTAGGTCACTCAGATGACCAACATTAACTGGCCCTCATTTTGCCATTCATACAAGTCTCCTTCCCAAAAGAAAGATCATTTTATTTCACTTGTAGGTTAACCCCCGATACTCTCTACTTACTGTAAATGGACAGAAAGCTTCTCCCTATCACTTTTTGTTCATTTTAATGTTATATGCTTTACTAGTAACATTAGATTATAAAACCTAAAAGTTGATAACAGGTACCTTAATATCCGATCCGATTCGGAACAAATTTTTCTTGACAATAATACAGTTTTGACTATACCCTTATACTCTGTCCCCGTCAAAGTAGGACTAAGAAAATGAGCTGTGGGAGTGATTGTTTGGTATATAATGAAGAGGACACACTTCACTAATATTCTAAGAAATTGTTAATATAAATTAGCTTGTTAGTTTCATACAGCTCTGCCACAAGTATTTGTTGGTCAAAATTTGTTATACTCTGTCCCCGTCAAAGTAGGACTAAGAAAATGAGCTGTGGGAGTGATTGTTTGGTATATAATGAAGAGGACACACTTCACTAATATTCTAAGAAATTTTTAATATAAATTAGCTTGTTAGTTTCATACAGCTCTGCCACAAGTATTTGTTGGTCAGAATTTGCTACTACTTCTTTTGATCTGTAAGCCTTAAGAATTTCATAAATGAACAGTACTAAGATGGTGCTTCACATTTACAGAAGGGTTCCAAAAGTAGCATCAGACTACACAAATTCAGCAGAAGACAAAAGCTAACAGCGGTCCTCGGGTTTAAGACAAGGTCGAAGGCTCGAAGCCCCTTTATCAGCCATTGTTACAAAAAGATAACTTGTCTGAGACTTTAAATGCTTTTGCAACCTGCAAACCTTCTCACTATTAATGATAATATGTAATAAATTTTGGAGCTTATAATCTTATGAACCAAGCATTTTACCTTCCCATATGAGTACGAAACTGTCTCAAAATCAAAATAGAATGTTGATAGCTAAATAAGGAAACTAAATCCCAATTCAATTCTTCTTATGTAATCCTGTCATTCCTATGCTGAATTTCAGTTTACTTAAACTGTTCAACCAATACGAAATTCTCGCATTAGCTCCATCTATTTTTGTTTCTATTTATTTTTATGAGCTCATATTGAAAAGGAAAAGTAGGAAGAAGTCATAACTTGCTACACTACAAAGTATAGAACAAGCTAACAACATTGACGGTTTAGCAAGGAAAATTAGAAAATAAGGCATCAACACGTTTCCAACAACATTAGAAAAACGGAAATAAGAGCATAAGCTTTATCTCCGCCATCTTCAATCCAACATGTGGCACCTGATGCATAGATGGAAGAAGAAATCACTAAAAAAAGCAGAAAAGATAAGTAAGAAACACGTTACTTCCACGTAGGGTATCACGCCCATGTTGGCACATTCCTCCATTACAGTAAACGACAGGGTAGAATATGCAGTCTCAACTGTCAATGCTTCCAAAAGCTATAACAAGCTTACAGTAGAAGGTACATTCGCATAGATGACGTACATAAAGTGTGAATTCACTTTGGACCACTGTTAGCAGTTCAAGGGCATTTCAAGACTGATCATTTCCTTTTCTGTCAATTAGTGGTCAATACATTAATGGCACATTTTCCCAAAATCCAGGCAAAAACTTATTTATGGATTTAACAAACCAAAAAGACCGTCAGCAAAATTGGCTTTTTCCATCTACATAAGATCGGATAGATATTAATTCTGCTCATCAATCATCATTCGGTTCCTGAAAAGGTGAAAGGATATCTGGTACGTATATTATCGTAACATAAGGTGGAGATTTATGTACGTCATCATTCCGTTCCTGAAAGGGTGAAATGAGGTATGTTGCTTGTATATTCTTGTAAAGTAAGCATTTATTTGGTTAAAATTGTTTTATGTAGTTTTATGTACGTCATCTTTGCGAACGTACCTTCCACTGTAAGCTTGTACTATCGTCTTCGTATAAGTTAAGATTTGTATACATAAAATCTCCAACTGCACACTTGTTAAATCTGCCAACTGGTTATAAGAGGCAGTGTGTTTAAAATGGCTAAAAGCACTTCCCTCCAAACAAAAATTCCTTTTTGTTTACTTATCTTTAAGTGTGGAAAATATTCCCTCTGCACACGATTTTCCACCAGAAGAGTGGAAATGACTTCACTCACTTATTGGCGGAAGTAATTTTCCTTTACAACTATCCTAAATCTTACTCCACGTCTCTTACTTCAATTAATGGTTTTTTTCTATATCAACCTTCAATATTCAAATTTATGTCGAAACACTATTCCCATGCCGTATCTTATACACTTTGCAAAATTACCATATATCACCAGACTCTATATTCAATCATACAGTAGAAAATTATTCAAACAAATTATTTTTTAGGGTAAAACATTCCATGACATAGAACTCCATATCAAACGCACCCTAAAGGTAACACATTACACAAATTTGCAGTCTATTGAGTAAGAACCAACAACAACATCAATCTAAGTGTAATCCCACAAGTGGGTCTAGGGAGGAGTGTGGTGTATATGTATCCTTACCCTTACCTTGAGAACATAAAGAGGTTGTTTCCAGTTATTGATCAAGAACCATACTACATAAACATACATTCATACTTGGCCTCAGCTGGCAAGTAAACACTCCAACTTTGAGAGTGCATATCAAGGCACCTCAACTGGTGTCAACTGCAACTAAACACTCCAACTAGTCCCTATTGTGTCTTGTGGACACCCGACGCGATGTGACACATAGATTTAGAGGTTTCTAGATGATCATTTTGTAAGTTGGAGTGTTAAACTGACACAGTGGAGACAGGTTTTTAGGAGTCTAGTTTATGTTTTCTTTCTTTTATTTATTTTGAGCTTCCTCTTGCTTTCAACTACCCTTTGTTTGTTTCCCTTAGTTGCCTTTTCTCGATCATCAACCACTTTCACTTCCAACTATCCCACTGTCCTCCCCACAACTACTCATAATAATGATGATGATGTACCCCCTCCCGCACTGGACATGCACATGATTCTCAGTGTTCTCCCGGGAGGTGGAAGCATATACTTAGCTGATCTTGGGAACACCAAATGCCCAAACAGAGTCATGCACAACAGTTCTGGTGAATTTGATCACAGCACGCCCATGACATTTTTTACTATGCAACTTGGAGGTCATGAAAACCAAGACGTTAGTATAATGTTATCTACTCCAACTTCTAAGCTATGTGCTAAAGAAATTGTTTGGAAAGTTGGTGATTACTTCATAACACTGCATCCACCACCTAGGTTCGTTGTAACTGGTGGTACCTAAGGAATTCCAGGACCTAATACCTTAAATATTGAGAAATATGAGACGGAGAGACCTAATTTTTACAAGTTAAGGTATTTTCCAAATCAATATATGTGTCCAAGTTAATTTATATACACAAATACTTGAGTCACTTGCCGTTTGCATCAAATTCTATCCATATATGAAATTAAAGATGAGAAACCGAGATGAAGAAATTATACCTTTAAATTGAAAGTAGAATATGTTTAAATGCCTCTACAGCACAACGCCTGGCGTCCATATTTCTTCTGAAATTTCACCTGATTCCCCATTACGAAGCCCTCCCACTTCTCACTGAAATCAACCTTCTGTTTCCCCAAAAAATCAGAAATCAGATGTACTACTCTCTTCTATTCTTTATTTCAGGCCAAATTGACAAGTGATTGGAATTTCCGTTCATAAGAAATCACTTCCTTCGCGAATTCTAATTTTGGTAATTTGAATTAATCATCAAATTGAATAATGAAAAATTAACACGGGTCCGAAAAATAATTACTCAAACACATAAGTAGAGAAGTAAAAATATATGGGTAACTGTAGGGTTGTACTCATTAAATTGTTATCGCTTTAAAATTGTAATTGGCTTTTAAAAAAAATAAAAATTTCATACAAGATTCACATGAAGAGGAATGTAATATAGAAAATCCAAAAAAAAAAAAAAAAAAAACCTCACATTTGATATTTAAATCGGAATGATAAACAAATTATGTGTTCCATTTTTCTTAATAAAAATCATTATTGACACAAGAAACTGAGGAATTGTTTGATAGAATGAATAAGAATAACTCTTAACACATTATATTAGTAATGATGATATTAATTAGGCTTATATTATTTCTTTATATACTATTTGGTCTGATAAATTAGAAATTGAAGTCCTACATATATTTACAGTCACCCTAGCTCCACACTCTACTTTATAGTTATGTCATTAATCAATTTAATGTATGTGCTGATACTTGATACTCTTTTATTATTAATAAAACATGAAAATTCATGTTATTAGTAATGCACACCTCAATGCATAATAGAATGTTTATAATTAATTCATCGACAAAAAAAAATAAAAAAAAAAATAAAAAAAAATATATATATATATACCAAACAAAGCTAATACACTTTCTCAAACAATAATAACTACATCTTAGTTCTAAATAAGTTAGATCAACTCTAATCTTCACTTATAAGTAAAACAAATGGATTAATGTTATTCCAAAAATGGATATGAATTAATATTTATTTACTTACTAATACATCTTTCGTCTCATTTTATGTGGCACCATTTGACTTGACATAATATTTAAGTAAAAAGAAAGATTTTTTAAAATTTTGATCTAAACAATTTTTAGATATTTGTGTTATAAATCATTTCATTAAGAATAATGAAATTTTTTTAAATTAAACTGTTTTTAATTATAGTAAAATGACTTATTTTTAAGCGGACTAAAAAGAAAAGTAACGACGGAGGGAGTGGTTTTTCCATTATTTAATAGGGTCAGATTTCTTATGTTTCCTTCTTCAGTTCTCCATTTCCCATCTGCTCCTACCACAGTTCTCCCCGCCGATTGAACAGGTTTCCGGCCGGTTAAATTTGTGACGATGAATTACGGCAATAATCCTACGTCTCGAGCTGTTTTTCCCGAACAGCGTCGAGAAAATCGCAACTCTAAATGGGTTATACAGCGTCCCTTCAGGTGATTTTGCTTTCTCTTTTTCAATTTTTTTTTGTAGCTAGATTGTTAAATGGTTAACATTCTGATTTTCATTTGTTTAACAGTAATCAAGCTGAGATCATGGATTCAAAAGTCACAGCAGAGGTATTAATCGAAAGATTTAAGTTACATTATTGCACTGATGGTGTAAATAATTTATGTTTAATTGTTTGTGTACTTATGTGATGTTACAGGATGTTATAGCTGCAATGCTATCAGCATCAGCATCAGCATCTCCTCCTTTCTTTAATGGTTCACCGCCTAGCCGACCGATGAATCCATTGATTCATGATGTTCGCTTTGTAAATTATGGAAAACAATTCAACAGTTTATCATCATCAACAACAATCAGTGCATCTACTTCAGTTTCATGTGCAAGGCCAAAATTACTTGGACAAAATACTCAAGCACCACCTAGAATTGAGGGCTTTGATTCCTCAAAACTCTCATCTGAGTCATCAGTATGAAAGTTTGACTGTAAAATCTGTCCTATTAGGAATAAAGTTTTCCAAAGTTTTATTAGTAAAACAAGAAGACAAAAAGGAAGAGTTGTACATTAATTAGCAATCTAGGGAGTTTTTTTTTTAAAAAAAAAAATCTTGTATATATTTGTTATGTATATATGCCTTATGTAAGTGTTTTTTTTTTTGTTTTTAATGTAAGGAGGTTGATATAAGTGTTTTGTTCTGTTTATTACCTTCTGTAAATGTAATCAAGTGGATTTTCACCACTTTTGACAATTTGAAAATATGTAATATTGTGCAGAATGGTTTCTTCTCCACCAATCTGTTTAGGGTTTTCGTGTGCATCTTCGCACAGATCTCCAGATTGTAAAACATTATCATTTTCATGGCACTGATGAATATCTTGATTATGTGTTATTTACCCAATTAACATATAAGTTTCCTTTTCTTAAAATTATCAATGAAGAAGGTTAAGTTTTATTTGCACAATTAATATATAGATTTTTCTTCGAAATTTAATTTTTTTCCCCCTAAATCAATGAAGAAGAGGGAGACATAAGTTAATTCTATCGAAAAATCGGAAGCTAAGTTCTATGTTGAGGCTGCTTGGGAGCGAAAAATGAAACGACCCTAGGAAAATAAATTAGTTAGGGTTCTTAATGTTTCAACAAGATTTGTCAATTTCATTGTGAAAAGAAAAAACTTTTGTAATTAGTTTTCCAACCATCACAATTGCAACTTCATTATTTACAACACACATAATTAATTTTACATTAGCACTGACATTGCACACTATCAGTGTAGCACTGACATTGCACACTAATACTAATTCAGAAAAATAAAACCAAAAAGACTAATGCCATGTCAATAAAAAACCAACAAATTGAACTATTTATTTTCAATACAAACAAACTATAATTATCTCTAACTTGTACGTTTAAGTATAAAACAAAATTAATGCATACTCTAGAACCTTCATTGGTGCCACATGCTTATGCATGCATAAGCTACCTCTAAACTAAAAAAAAAAACAAAAAAGTAAAAAATCAAAGTTTCACATTGTAAAGTTCATCCAAGTACAAAAAAAAAGTGATCGGTATTTTTTAGAGACTTCTTTACCATTTCTCATCTTGGCGTTACAAGATACAATACTACGGACTAGTTTTCCTTTCCAACAAATGATTAATGGCCTTTTTATCCTTTTTATTTAAAAAAAAATATTTTTCTTCCTCTAATGAATAAATTATCAAATATATTTAAGATTAAATTATATATACTAATATTGTAAATTTAATACATAATCCATCTCTTAAATTTGTTGGGATTTCCATTTTAGATAATTGATGAAGTAGGCATTATTCTAATTAAATTTCGAGATTTTGAAGAAAAAAATTGTGTGTGTTTTAATTTATCTATTGGATAGTTAAGTTAATAACATAAAATATATTATCTTGTTTATAAATTATATGTATCAACCTCAAGAAAAAAATGTCTGGAAGTTTACGACTTATTAAGACAAACATATATAATTAAAGAAAATGACTCTATGTTATGTGCTAAACTTAACTACTGAACAGAAGAATGAGAATACCAGCAAAAATAATTTTAAAATTTAAATAAAAGCGTGCAATTAAATTATTTTATTAAAGGTTAAGATGTTCAATTGCAACAACTGATAAGGTTACTAGCTTTATTGTAGTTATTGTGAAATCAAACTCAACTAATTCTAGTTATCTAAATTATCTTACTGTTTAGTAGTATACTATACTTAAGACAACTCTTCATTAAATTTAATGCTTAATAATTGTTTCTTGTAAAATCAGATTTATAATATCAGGGGAAAATAAAAATCAGCTTTTTAGTAGTGTTTGTGCTGAGTGATGCATGCAGGCATATAATCCAAAAACACTAACGTTGCTTCCCTCACTATATATATATATGCACTTACTTGACCACTGCACAAAATAATCTTATTATTTTTCTATCAATTTTATTTTTCTCTTTTCTGTACGTGAGTGATGTACAATTTAAAAGATCCTTTATTTGATATATTACCGTGCCAAAAGAATTGTATAGTTATTTTCTTTAAAAAAAGTTTAATTAACGTTTGTGCATTAACAATGTCAAAAATTATGTAGTTATTCAAAGGCGATGCATAATTAATTTTATTGCACCAACGTGAAAAAAATTGTGTAGTTAACTAATTAAATGAAGTGCTTAATTAACTTTTGTGCACTGAATATCTTGGTTAAGTAATTTTATTGTAAAAATAAATAAATTCTGTAGGTAATTTTCCAACCGTCACAATTACAACTTTATTATTTACAATACACATAAATAATTCTACATTAGCGCTGACATTGTACATTATTAGTTTATCTGCTTGTACTATTTCAAAGAAATAAAAGAACAAAAGTGACATCAAGTAAAAAAAAAAACCACCAAACTGAACTACTTAAATAGTTAAAATACAAACAAATTGTAATTGTCTCCAACTTAAATGTTAAGTATAAAACAAAATTAACACATACTTTTATAACTCTTGAACCTTCATTGATGCTACATGTTTATGCATGCAAAAGCTTCATCCTCTAGCTGGCAAAACATCAAAAAATAAAAAGCAAACTTTCACATTGCAAAGTTCATCCCGATGCAAAAAATGTTATCGTTATATTTTAGAGACTTCTTTGTTGTTTCTCTTCTTGGTGTTACAAGATATAATACTACAAGCTTGTTTTCTTTCCGGCAATTGATTAATGACCTTTTTATCTTTTTTAAAAAAAAGTGAATTATATTTCTTCAAAAA